GACCTAAAGGCATCTGCATCCAGGGCAGCTCCCGACACTAGTTCATAATAAAATTATGCACACAGTAAGATCGACATCGCAGCCACCCCTTCCACCTCCGGTAACAGCTTCAGGTGTGCTTGGCCCTTCTCCATGGCAGCAAGGGTCATGCGGGGCCCTCAGGCCAGCAATGTGAGAAAGCACTCCCATCTCTGCCTCTTGCCAGCTGTGTGAACTGGACAAGTTACTTAGCCTCCCTGAACCTCAGTAAGCTATCCATTCCCTACACTCAGGGAGGACCAACTCGGATTGGAACTTAGAGCCCATAAGCCAGTGCTGTGAGCTCTGGGGAAGCCGGCACTCTCCTTGCTTTCTGTGCCATTTGCTGCGCAGACCGTCAGAACATCGTGGTCCGCGTGCTAACAGGCTCTCTTCCTGACCTTGCCAACCCGACAGGCTCCAGATGTGCTTAGCTCGCAGCCGTCTTAGACCTGCAAGTCACTTCCTTGTTCTCCTGCACCTGCAGCCAAGGACCCAAGTGCTGCACATCCCATGACGCAGCAGAGCCATCTGCAGCCCGCAGGCCCACGGGCCCTCCCCAACGCAGTCATCATTCACATAGAACCACACACTATTGATCTTGTCATAATAAACTCCCTGTTTTGCTTTATCAGGTCCCATCAGATCTATTCATCAATAATGTATTGTCTTTTTAAAAGTCCAAACCCCAACATTATGAGACGGCCCTCTACGCACCAGTCTTGCCAATCCACCTGGTTTGACTCTAGCTCCCCCTAGTCCCCAGGTGGGGCCATTGCTCAGCGCTTCTTACAGCAGAGCCAGGCCAGGCTATGACCCTGGGTGGCCCTCCTGCTGCCGCCTCTCCCTACCCTCTGCCTCCCTCCCTCAGAAGTTTTAGGGTTTGGCACCCACCAGCCCTTCACCCGGCGAGTGCTGAGTGTGTCTGGAAGTGTTCCCAGGGACCTGCAGCCAGGGTGACGCCCACAGAGCACTTCTCCTTCCTCCACAGCCAGGGCCCCTGGACCTGCCTGGACTCCACCCTGGCACCGCCGTGGTCTTGACATTTTAGTAAATGCAGGAAACCATAAGAAAGGCCTCCAAGCAGAGGATCACAACAGGACTGTCCTTCTAGAACTACTCTTTGGCTCTTCTTCAAGAATGTGGCATCGCATGCCTGTGTGGGGCCCTTCCTTCCTGGCCCCAGCCGTGGCCCTGCTGGCCAACCATCAATGATGGCTACTAGAGAAAACTCGCCCTCACCCTGGGACCTGGCCGATTTAATTCTTTAGGTCAGTTCACTGTAAGATGCCATCATGGAGTGATCGTGTTGTCCCCACAGTCATCTGGCTCTAGGGGCTCGTCCCACACACCGTCTCTGGAGGAGCCAGCAGAAGGAGACGTCCACAGGTGAACCACAGGAGCCCCTGCCAACAGAGCCCAGCTGGGACTGCATTGGCGGGAGTCCACCTCGTGCCCAGCTGGGACTGGGCTTGTGTAAGTGACAAGCTGCGCAGGTGGCAGTGAGTGGACCAGCCCCTGTCCCCAGCCCTCACTGGCACTGGTCAGGCCCTCAGGGGCGGTCTCTAGGAAGCCTGCTGTGGTAGGCCCCACTGTGAAGGTGGCCCCTCTGCAGACCCGTTCCTAACGCATTCCCAGGGGTTCACTGGCGCGTGACACGTGGAGTCCCAGACGCCGGAGGTACGGGGGTGCTGGCAGCGCCTGCTCAGCCCAGCTCCACACACGGAAGGCTGGAGGGCAGCTCCCCAGCCGGTCTGTCCCCTCCCAGGAGCGCCCAGGAGCGGCGCTGGCTCTCCCCAGCAGAGCACAGGGCCCAGAGAGATGCTGGGGCGTGGTCCAGAACCTGGGGTGGCTCATCTTGATGCCCAGACACAGGGAAAGGTTCTCCTGATATCAAGGAAACCGCGGCTGTAGGGCCGCAGTGGCTGCTGAGTGTCACGGGGAAACTGACTTTGACTTGGAGCAGCGGAGAGACTCGTTGGATTTTTATGAGAGTGTTGACAAGACTCCCCAGGTGCGTCTCCTGGAGTTGACGATAATGTCCTGGGCTCCTCTCCAAAAATCCACCAGATCTGACCAGGCATCGGGCTGCTGCCGTCTCACTAAATCGGCTGGGATCGATGCCTGCCCGGCCGAAATGAAATGACCTCTGTCTTTAAAACCCAAATTACCATTTCACTCAAAGTAACATGATTGTTGTCACCCTGATAATGCTAACATCACCCCCTATGGCATCTTGAGGGAAACACCCTGGCGGTGGAGGTGACAGAGGCCAGTGAGTCTTGGTGGCCTGGTAGACTAAAGCTGGGGTCTGGGGACACTCGGGGACTTGGAGCCCTGGAGCGGTGCTGTGGTAGTGGCCCCAGCACCTGCAAGACTCCGTTTTGTCACATCCCCTGGCTCCCCTGACAGGTGGCACCCACCAGCACTAGGTAGTTCTGCTCCCCCACCCCGGCCGGGCTCCACCAGGAGGCACCACCCACGGGGAAGGTGGAGCACGCGGCTCTGAGGTCCAGACGGTCTTTGGGGCTTTGGGGAAGGAAACTGCCGTGGCTTGGTGACAGAGTGGGGCTGAGAACACACAGCCGACGAGGCAGGAGGAGAGAAGACATTTGTTTCTGGAGGTCAGGGAACGTCAGAGGAGCCAGGGTGGGAGCAGACGGGGACAGCATGGCCCAAAGGGCTTGCAGGGCCAAGGCTGCCAGGCCTGTGCACTTGGGGCCAATCCTTTCGCCTGCAGGGGGGGACACTGCAGAGCTCCTGGCAGAGGGAAGAGTGGTGGGCCTTCAGGGTGATGTGGAGGCTGGGGCAGGTGGTGGCAGAGAAGCTGTCCCCAGGGCCCACAGGAGCATGGAGGCAGGACAGGGAGAGGCACTGCCGCCATGGGCAAAGGTGTCCATCAGCAGAGGTGCCCGTTGGCTGTGCCTGGACTGTACAGGGCTGGTGTGGAGGGCTGTGTCCTGTGGTGGAGGCAGCGTCCCTAGGCCTGAGGCTGCAGGAGAGGCGCAGCCCAGGAGCTGGAGACCGTGGAATCAGGAGGGCTTGGAGTCAACACACAAGGCCAGGCAGCGCTGTCGACCCCCATGCACGAGCCCGGGGATCCTGAGGGTCTCGGGGGCCCCAGCTCCCGGCCCACAATCTGACCTGAGGCACCACTGCGCAGGGTCCCTCCCATGCTTCCAGCTGCCTGAAGCTCGAGATGTCGGCCAGAGGAAGTTGTGCCCCCTGCTCCCAAGAATCGGACAGTGCTCACCAGGCCTCCTGAGGGGATCCAGGTGCTGCCTGTGCTTGGGAATTCTGCTCCATGCAACCTAAGGAAGGGGAGAGTGAGGGGAATGACCCATGACAGTGTCTGCTTTTCCTCCCTCCATGAGCTCCTCAGGAGAGCGGTGGACCCTACCTGCCACGGCGCAGGGCCCTGGAAGGCACAACTGCCTGCTGGGTGCCAGGGAGCGAGCCCAGAACGAGAGGAGGGGTGGTGAGCACCAGGGACACTGGGCAGGCATGCTGTCCAGCTGGGATCATGATCCAACAGTCAGAGCACAGCCGCCCACCACCCTCTGGAGACACGGGAAGGACCCTGGGTCAGCCATGGGGATGGGCTTGCTCCTGGAGTGGCCCCCACTCAGCCTGGCAGCGGGCCCCCGGTGCTGGGACTGAGGCTCCTCTTTGCGCCCTCTGGTGAAGTGGTAGCCGGCTGGGTGGCTCTGTCCCTTCAGTGCTTGGCCAACATGCTGGAAGTGGAAACCCACGTGGCCAGAGGGACCCAGGAAAACACAGCCAGGGTCTTGGGACAGGTGCAGCTGGGGCACACGGGCGCCACCTCTCGGAGACCTCCACCTGGTGACGCCCAGGAGAAGCACCAGGGGGCCTGCCCTGCGCTGACCAGGTGGGGGCTTCTGTGTGCCTGAAGGCCACACGGTGGCCAGTCTGGAAACAGCCCAGGTGCGAGGCAGTTCTCCAGGTGGACAATGAGTTGCGAAGGGAGTGAGTGGCCAGACCCGGGATGTGTGCTCCGAGTCAGCGGTCCCCGCCTGCGGCCCTCTTGCTCCTGGAGTGCACCCCCATCTGGAGGAAAGGTTTCCTCTCGCCATGGCTGGGGAGAGGTGCCGCTGCTCCTCGTGGTGAGCACAGGGTGGCCCCTCCCCAGAGAATCGTCCAGCCGGGACGGTGGGCAACTCGGCACTCAGTAGAAACCTGAAAGGACAGCTCCGCCTCCTCCCAGATGAGCAGCTCACTCGAATGCCTTGAAGGAGAAGGCTCTGTTTAGGCACCAGGTGCGTCCCTTCACGTACTCCCGCACACACATGCACACAGGGCACACGCGCTGAGCGCCATCTTCCAGGTCAGCGGGCGCTCCCTCCAGCTCCTTCTCCAGCTTCTCCTTCACCTGATTCCGCAAACTGCTGCACTGGGCTCTGTCTCGGAGGGCTTCGGCTTCACACCAGGCCCTCCCAGGAAGACAGATGCTCCCAGTGATCACATCAGAGACAGTATTTGAACAGGGAGCTCCACCAGCTCTTCACAGTGCATCCAGAGTGGCCGTGGGCTCACGTCTGGTTCCAGGCCGTTTCCCTTTCCTAGCAGGGTCCATCCACAGAGGAGGTACCTGCGTGGCTGCCACCGCGGACGGCGTCATCACCTGAGAAGTCCACCCTCATCGGTTTCAGGAATGAGAATTCCTTAAAGCCCACTGGAAATTGAGATAAGTTCTAGGAAAGCCTCCAAAACTGAAAGTACATAAGTGCCGCCCTTTCTGGAAGGATCCGATTGATGTCGAGCAGGTGCAGGTGGAACATAATTAAATTAGCCCTGTCTGAGGGCCGTCTGGAGGACGTCTGAGGGATAAGCCTGTGCAGATGAAATGTCAATATTTTAATAACTTTTCTTGGAAATATATCACTGTGTGATTCTCTTCTGGTTTGCTCTTGGCGGTTCCTTCTGTCCCTCTGGAAGACTGGCTGAGGAGTTACGGCGTTTGCTATGGATTCCCACTCCCCTCCCATCCCCCACGCCCCCACTGCAGGTTTAGATTGGAAACAAAGTCCCACTGGGGCTGGACACTGCGGGTGCCTGAGCACCATTCGGAGCTCCGGGGTCCACTGTCAAGTCTGAAAAGAAAACTAGAAGGCCTTGGCCAGCAGGACAGTCAGCAGCTGCTCCACCAGCACACCCCGGGCCCACAGGGTGGAAGTGGGTGTCACCTGCTGGGAGCCAGGTGTGCGTCACAGCAGGGCCGCAGGGTCAGCTGCAGGGGGAGTCAAGGAGAGGGACCGAAGCCTCTGTGGCAGTCCACCTGAAAGGCACCACCTGTGTCCAAGAGCGTCTCAAGGGGTCCCCGCCACCCACAGGAGAGAAGTCAGGCTGGGGGCCTCACCCATATCCCACCAAGGTGAGCCTTTGAGGGCTGCACAGCAAAGCCCACCTGCACCCAACACCGCACACTCACCCTGCAGGCCCTCGTGGCACCCGGCCCACCCCCAGGGTTCCCTCCAGGGACACATAGGGCACAAAGGAAGCGGAAGAAGCTGGTGTCCCCAGCAGCCTTTGGCCATCAGGAAGTGAGGTCAACCACAGCCCCTTGGCAGCCATGGGATCTAAGGGTGCTCTGGACCCCCAGGCAGAGATGGAGCTCAGTGGCCCGCACCGTACCCCCTCCCTCCACTAGGCCCCTGCCTCTCACCCCACCAGCCAGGTGTTCCTGAGACCACCCACGGATACGGGTCCTCGCCTGGACTCTGCCTGGGGAAAGAGAGGCCAAGACATCGCGTGGGGGTAGCTCAGGGGCACCTGGTCTCCAGGGGCCTGAGTGTCTTGGTGCCCACAGCCCCAACCCCCTCCCACATAAAGGCTCAACTGCGGCATAAAATCAGATCCCCAGGGCAGGGGAACAGGGCCTAACTGCCCTGTGTACAGAGGACAGGCCAGCATCAAAACTGGTCCTACATTGAAATGGGTCAGGAGAGAGGACAGGGACGTGAGCTCCAGGTAAGTTTTGCAGCATCAGGGGCAGGCCCCGGCCTCGAGGCCAATGTAGCAAAGGCCCGCTGGCCGCAGGCAGACTGCAGCTGAGTCCTGGTAGAGGGGGCTGCTGGGCCCTGGGCAGGGAGCAGAGGCAAGGAAGGGTGCTGGTGGGCCAGGCTGTGCCGCAGGGTGCCCTGGGCAGAAAGGAGCAAGGGCCACTGCCTCTCGTGTCTTCCTCACTCAGGGCCCGTACAGGCCTACGTGTGGCGCCAGGAGGACGGGACCTCCCTGCCCCTCTGACCTGCAGAACGGCTCTGAGTCCAGGACCACCGCCTTCTGCCGGACTCCCCAGCAGTCTGTGACAGTTTCATGTGCGTGCCCCCAGCCCCAGGACAGCTTCTGCAGACAGCGGTGAGAGAAGGGGACATGTCTGGTGAAAGGCACTCTTGAGAAGACAGTTTGGTGGCTTCTCCTTTAAACACTCAGATTCCACAGTTAAGACTCACCCCTGGGGCCAGAACCTTCCACCCTAAACATGCCAAAGGGTTCACAGCTGTGTCTGCAGGAGACTAAACACGACCGGAACTCGTCACGGCTCCACGGGGCAGTGAAGGCAGGACTGTGGCCCCCGCCTGGTGTGGATGGATCATCTCAAAGACTGTCACAGGCAGCAAGTCACCGGCCTTCGCCTGGGGAGGGAAGGCGACACAAGCAGGCCAGCTCTGCTCCCAGCCCCCAGCTGCGCCCGGCCCCAGCGGGCAGCTGCTTTCCCCCAGAACCCACTCCTCCTCCTATGAGCAGGGGTGGGACACGTGGCCACCAGGGCCCTCCAACACGCAAGCCCCTGCCAACAGGCTGGAAAGTGCCTGCCCAGGGTGGGCAGGAGGGGTAGCCGTGAGCCCAGACCCGAATGTGAGCAGGAAGCCGTCTTCAGCACACGTTCTGGCAGGGGTCAGCCCTGTCACTGGCACATGGCTGAGACCGGGGCAGGGGAGGGATGTGCAGCGGGGATGGTGAGGCTCCAGATGCAGACAAGGAGGCTGCTGGCCTGGGCTCGGAGGAAGAGCACGCAGCAGGCGCCTTAACTGGGCTGAGGGGTCTCGCTCGGCTTTCTCTGGGTGGACCTGAGTTGAAACTGGGACAGGTATCAGGGGAGGAGCAGTAATGGTCAAGTCCTGACCACTTTGCTTCAGTCGTTACAGAGCTATTGCTGATCTTCCTGGCTGGGCGCTGTAGATCCGGGCAGCTCAGACCAGGGGCCACCTTCATGAGCCAGTTGGTTAGATGGTGGGCTGGCTTCCTGTGGTGGTCAGCGTAGGTGAGGGGTGGCTTCCTGGGCTGGTCAGCATAGGTGAGGGGCTGGCTTCCTGGCCAGGTCAGCGTAGGTGTGGGCCTGGCTTCCTGGGCTGGTCAGCGTAGGTGAGGGGATGGCTTCCTGTGGTGGTCAGCGTAGGTGAGGGGCTGGCTTCCTGGGCTGGCCAGTGTAGGTGTGGGCTTGGCTTCCTAGGCTGGTCAGCATAGGTGAGGGGCTGGCTTCCTGGGCTGGTCAGTGTAGGTGAGGGGATGGCTTCCTGGGCTGGCCAGTGTAGGTGTGGGCCTGGCTTCCTAGGCTGGTCAGCATAGGTGAGGGGCTGGCTTCCTGGGCTGGTCAGTGTAGGTGAGGGGATGGCTTCCTGGGCTGGCCAGTGTAGGTGTGGGCCTGGCTTCCTAGGCTGGTCAGCGTAGGTGTGGGCCTGGCTTCCTGTGGTGGTCAGCGTAGGTGAGGGGTGGCTTCCTGGGCTGGTCAGCGTAGGTGAGGGGTGGCTTCCTGGGCTGGTCAGTGTAGGTGAGGGGATGGCTTCCTGGGCTGGTCAGCGTAGGTGTGGGGCTGGCTTCCTGTGCTGGTGGCCACTGGCTGCAGGTCCATTTTATTTTAAATCTATTCTTGCCCCTGTTTATCACCTCAGGGCCCTAGTCAGGAGCCTGGCCTTCCTGGGCGTCAGTCAGTAAGTGTCCAGAGGTGAAAGTCATACCCAGGGCAGGAAGTGGGTCTGGGTTGGAGCAGAAAATGCTGAGAAGGACCCGGTGGGTGGTGTCCCCTCAGGGCTGCACCATGGCTCTGTCCATCCGTGATGAGAAGCCAGCCTTCCCCAGGGCAGTGAGAGGACATCAGGGCTCAGCTGCTCCGTGTATTCACGGGGACATGTCCCCAAACCCAGTGCCATGAGTGAGTCATTCCTGGATTGGTGGATCTTAGAGGTCCTCAGACATGTCAGAGAAGCCCAAGGGCAGGTTCTGGGGTCATCAAACCAGCAGCAGAGCTTGGCATGCAGTGGACATGAAGGTCCCCAGCTGTCCTCTCTGGGAAAGGATCCGTCTTCAGCAGAGAACAGGTGGCACTGGTGGGAAGAAAAGCAGGGGCTGCCCTGAGCCGAGCAGGGCCAGTGCCGTCTTGTCCCCTCCACCTGCATCCACAGGGTGCCCAAGACCCTACCTCCTTCTCAGGAGAGGCCCTCAGAGCCACTGGTCTGCCCTGGCTCTGTCCCTGAGGGCCTTTGCTCTGGGGCCTGGCTTCCTGTCCTATGACGCCAGGACTGGGGTCTGCCCTGGGCTGCCCTGGGAGTCGTGCTGAGACTCGTGTGGGCGGGAGGTGCCTATCACTAGACTAGCCACCCGGTGTGAGCTGCGCGGGCCCTGATCCAGGGTCACGTGCAGCCTCGCGGCTCTGGTGAGGCTGCACGTGACGCTGGGTTCGATCCCTGGCACCACATTAAAAAAATAAAATAATGAAAATAAAGGTATTGTGTCCATCTACAACTAAAAAAATATATTTAAAAAAAAAGAACAGGGGCTCTGTTCAGCAGGTTGGCTCATCCTCCGAACTGTGGACGCCAGGAGTGTGATCCCTCTGGGCCACGGGGGACTGACATCACCATCGGCTAGAGGCCAGGAGCACCCCAAGCATGACAATGAGTGTTCCCACACATTGCCAATGGTCCCTGGGGACAGAACCACCCGAGGGAGAACCACAAGTTAGACTCAGCAAGGACAAGCATGTGTGGGATGGCTCTGCTGACTACCTGTCGGGGAGGCTTCAGAGGACAGGTCCGGCAGAGCCTCGGCAACCAGCAGAGCCTCGGCGAGCTGGGTCCCAGTGAGTCAGCCATAGGGAGGAAGGGAAAAGGCAAGGCTAGGGACGGCCTGCCTTGGATGGAGACCAGATGGAGGCTCCGCCCTCCCTCCCACACACATTCAGGAAGCCTCTTCTCAGAGGAGCCCTGAGACCTGCCGCCCCAGCTCAGCCTGCACTCGGGCATGAGTGGCACCTGCACACGTCGCTGCCTGGAGGGTGCCCAGCAGCGGCTCACCTTGTTCAAGGCTGTCTGCCCTAGCAGCACCGACCTGGAGGCCATGGCTGGCTGGTGAGCAAGGGGTCTCCGTCCTGGCCGGTGACACAGGGTTTTTCCAGCAGTGTGCCACCTTCCATCTCGTCGTCTTCCTGGGGCAAGAAGTCCTCCAGCTCCTAAGGGCTCTCACCTGGGGAGCCAGCCCAAATACTGGACTCCGTTTGGAGTGGTGCTGGTCTTTGCTGTGCTGTTTCCAAAGACCTTGAAGTCCTTGCTTGGGGACAAGTCACTCTCACTTCTCATCTCCTGGACTCCAAGCCAACACCTCTGCACTCTACTTTCCATCCACAATCAGAGGGCAGCAGGGCAGCTATTCGTGAAACTAGACACAACACCTGCCCCTTCTCCTGGGGAGAAAACAGACATTGACCATGGCACACTTGTTCAGGACTTTCTGCAAATGGGTCACCCAGGGGCCTTTCAGAGCTCCTCCCGCTTGGCCTTTTAAGGGAATGGTAACACTGTGTCCCTCTTTCTTCCTGAAACCTTTCAGCCACAGTGACACTGTGTTCACTAGGTTCTGCTGCATCCTACAGAGCATCTCTGGGTGGGGTTCCCTGTCCTCCTTCCAAGCCCTATGGACACAAGACCTTGGATGACGAATGTCTACCTGTGCCGGAGCAGGAAGCAGGCGAGGATGGTATGTCCTGTCCATGAACCACGCTTCTGGAGGACTTGATACCATACGTGCTGTGTGCAGATTTCCCAGGGTGTCTGTCCACATTAGCCTGAACTCTCCAGAGAAACAGAACGAGAGAGAGAATATGATATCCATCTACGAAGAGAGGGGGTTGTGGGACGGACAGAGAGAGGCTGACAGATCCATTAAGGAGCTAGCCCATACAGTCATGGAGGCCAGCAGGCCATGACTCTACATGTGACAAGTACAGTTTGAACAGCAGCCTCGGGCAGCATCTCCTGACTTTATTGAGGTCATGGATATTTTTGAAAATTTGATAAATTTGGAAGGTTCTCCGCAGGAAATTGAACACAGATGCTTGTTCAAAAAATCTCATGTGCATGTTTGAAGACGCACGGTACAGAATGAAAATGCTTGCTTTAAAAAACAGACCTCATCCGACGACTGCAACCAAGGGGCTCTGTCCACAGTGCCAGAACCCACCCTGTGCCAGTTCCGAGTCACAGCTGGGCCACCCTCATTCGGTCGTGGTTCACCACGACGGTGTACAGACAGGAGACACACGCATGCAAACGTGTACGTGTAACACGAACACTGAATACTGACATCATGGACCTATTTATTCCTGTAAAAGTTCTCTGCATGTGATCCTTGAAGCAGACGACTGACTCAATAGTCATCACAGGGCTGGGCTGCTCACAGCGCCACAAGCTGAGTGCTCAGAGGACTAACGGACAGCTTCTGCACACAAGAGCCCCACAGCCTGGCAGAGGAAAAGGGCGTATTTATAATAGCAATAATCTAGTATAATAAGTGTGCGTGCAGAAGTGCTAGGGTTAGGGGAGGAAGCCACTCCCACCTGAGTGAGGAGGGAAAGCTGCTGCTTAGCTGGACAGACAGGTGCAGCTTCACCTCCGGGGTTCGCGGGTCAGCATGTTCCCCTGGGAGGGGCCAGAGCCACGGGTTGCCACTGAAATCCATGGCAGTGTTCCAGAGGCAACAAGCCTCCTCACCCGTCCCCTTCGTAGAATGTCCCTGCCCCCAACTCCTGGGATTTTCTGTGGTGCACAACAGTTGGCAATGTCCCCAGCCCACTCTGCAAAGCCTCAGCAGGTAAGGTCATGGTGGGGGTCCCCTTCATACACCCCTTGGGAATGCTCCACCTCATCTCACCCAGGCTCCAATCAGCTGTGCACAGATGCCACCTGGTGCCACCTGGGCTCAAGCCTTGCTCAGGTCTCACCTCCTTCCCTGGACACAGGGCTAGCTGCAGGAGGCCCCTGGCACTCACCAGCATGCAAACCAATAACCACACTCACCGCGAGCCAGTCACTCAGCCTCAGGACTCCCTGGTCCAGGGCAGGACAGGGCAAGTATTAAAGCCTCCACTGTGACGTCCTGAGTTGACAGTGCCAAGCTGCACTGCATAAAAGGCCTTCAGAGCCCTCAGGTACCCCACGAGGAGGACACCAGGAACATGCATCCCCCAGCCACACCACAGGGGATGGTATGGCTGGCACAGCCAGCAGGGAGTCAGAGAAGGCCGAGCAGAGAAGGCCGAGTAGAGCTGCCTTCCACGGCCTGCGGACTTGGCAACCTCAGTTCCTAAAAAGGACAGACAAATACTGAGTGCTTCCTCTGCACATTCAGCAGAAATTATCTACCAAACACCTCCTCTGTGCCAGGTGCAAAACTCAAGAGGATACAAAAATGGACGAAGCCTGAAGACTTCATGCAGCCCAACAACTCTGGGGGGCCTGCTCCCTGGGGGGCCTGAATGAATACAATAGTTTTAAGACCTCTTCAGAAATTCCACCTTGAAGAGTAAGATTACTTGAATCAAATGTATGAAATATGATATGTCAAGAGCTTTGTAATGTTTTGAAAAACTAATAATAAATAAATAAATATTTAAAAAATTTTTAAAAAGAGTAAGATTGCCTTTCCCCTGGATCACGTGGGGCCTTGAGGGCTGAGTAGGGCTGCCTTCCCCCTGGATCACGTGGGGCCTGAGGGCCGAGTAGGACTGCCTTCTGCGTGGATCACATGGTGCACAGTTATTTATTTAGCTGCCCTATTATCATTAGGCCGTTAGCATCATTCCACTTCTTCATTTTTAAAAAATGTTGTGTTAAATGTCATTTATAAAAACATTCCTTGAAAGGTCTTTGTGAGGTTATTATTCATGAATCATAAATGTAAGGACAAGTTCTTGAGAGATTCCTTTCCTGAAATCATTATCTAAGCGTAATGCCTCTCTGTCACAGAGTCGCTCAGGTTCGGGCAGCCCAGAGCTAAAGTTCTGTGAATCCAACACTGCAGCTCTGTAGGAAAGAATAACTCCCAGTACTGGGCTGCTATCAATGTTCAGATCAGAATGATTTTCACAATTAAATAAAATTTAATTTTTGGCTCAGGTGATAGAAGATTATATCAGATTTCTCATTCCTTGGAAAATCAGAAAGAACTTAATAACAAATACCATAATTATCTGCAAGGACTGAAGAGTGATTAAATTATAAGGAGGCTGCTTCTCCTGAAACTATTTCTTTAATTAGCTAAAGCTGGCAGTATATATTAATATTTTCAGAGATATTTGCATACATTCACAACAGGCTAACCAGATTATTAGTTGAAATATAATTTTTCTAATATTATGTTAGAAATATTTTAAGATTAAATCATATTATCATGTTTTTCAGTGATTATTAGGGTAGACACTCTTGATTTATTACCATAAATTCCCTAATTTAGGAATTGAAAATGCTTCTTGTTTTCTAGGATGTGATTTTCAAGTCTGCTTACCAAACAGAAGGAAGTTCTCCTAGAAGCCAGGATCTGCTGGTACAGTATCTCTAATAATCCGTACCCCAGTGGGACACAGGAAAGCCTACTGTGATTATATGGCTGGCAGCACCCTGGCCCTCAGGCCCTTGTGACCACAGCGGTCCTGGGTTAGCCCAGGAGGACAAGAGTGGAGGACTGTGGGCAGCAGGAGTGGAACCATAGTTCATCAAGTCTCAACTCCACCCCCACCTGTGAGTCCTGTGCCTGACCACAGCAGCCATGCAGCTGGACGGCAGGACCTCTTGGCAGGTTCCACAGTGTCAGTTCAGAGGAGTGGAGGGGCATGTGGCCACACCTGAGAGTCACAGTGGGCTCCTTTGGCCTCCTCAGGCCTGGCTGAAGGTGACTGCTCTGAGCTTCCTTCTCCTGTAGGAAGGGGAGGTTGTGCTCAGGGACCAGCAAGGGGAAGGCCCAGCAGCCAGGAAGCCCAGAAGTCTCCTCAACACAGCCTTCAGGGTTGCCTGCAAGGCCCAAGTCCACCTTGCCTGAAGGAAAGTGTACCTAGAACACTGCTTTCCCCTCCCCACACATAGAAAAAGGATCGCAGGAATTAAAATGCAATATATTCAAATTACAATCTACCCAAATCATGATTCCAAAAAGAAAATACAGTATTCATATTCAACTTGTCATCCTAATTAATTTGTCCATATTATTTCAGGAGTTCTAAAAAAGAAAAGGCAGTCATCAAGCAAAACTGGGAGTATAAATAAAGCAATTCAATTAATTCACTATCCATTTAGCCAATTGGCAGAAGGAAGACCTCTTTGCTAGAACAAGGGGGCTGGACAGAACTGCCCAGAAAAGCCCCCCCCCAGGAATATGTGCACAGAGGGCTGACCTCAGGAGCTACCTTACAAGATTATTCCATCTGAAAACTTATATGCTCTTCTTCCGGAAAGTTTTATTTAAAAACCTCAATGTTCATAGCAACAGACAATAGAAGGAGGTCTCCCACAAACCTCCTGCTGCCAAGCTCACACCGCCTCTCCTGTCCTCATCCCCCTCCTAAGTAACACGCATTTATCAAGATCGATAAGCCTAGTGACCCTGCCTCACCCCCCAACATCCACAGTTCACTTCAGGCTCCCCTAGTCATTCATGAGTCTTGTAGTCTTCCTCGTGTGTCATATACATATTGTGTTAATTTTATGCCTAAAGGTTTTATTTCTCTGAGTGTTAGTATAATGGTAATATGTTTTTAGTCTCAAAATCAACTAGTACATAGGAAATCAATTAACTTTGTGTTTATAAACCTTGTATCCTAAAAGTTGCTTTAATCATTCCTTAGTTTCAGAAGTATTATTTGTTTGTCGATTATTTTGTATTTTCTACATAGTCATGTCATCTATGAACAAGACAGTTTGAGTTCTTCTTTCCAATCCATATGCCTCTGTCTCCTTTTCTTGTCTTATTGCATTAGTGAGGACTTCTAGTGTGACCTTAGAAAGCAGTGACCAAGTAACACCTCACCTTGTTTCCAACTAGCATACCTGCTTCTCTTTCCCTATTTCCCTTCTAAAATCAACTTGCTTTCACTAGTCTTATCAAGTAATGAATGAACATTGCTGTTTGTTTTGAGGAAATGAGCATATTTTATTCGAAAAATCTGAAGCCTCCTAGCTCCCCACAGCAGGACTGTCCCTGGAAGGGTGGAGTCTAGATCCCAGGGGGTGCAGGCCTTGGCCTCTCCCACCAGGACCCAGCTTTGCCATATTCCCTGCCCCTGCAGAGTCCCAAGGCCACAGGACAAGGAGACGCTGTGCATGTAGAGAGCCCAGAGTGGCGGGCACTCTCGGGCACTCTCCTCGAGGTCAGTGTTCTCTGCGCTGAGCCTGAAGCTCCACAGTGCCCAGCAGCTCCCCGGCTCGCACGGCAAAGTGCAGGTCTGCTCTGGCTGCACCCCAACCTCACTGCTCAGAACCAGCCCAGACTGGTCTGCCAGAACCCAGCACAGGGGCGCTGCCGAGGCGTGGAAGAAGAAGCATGTTTGTCAAGGAGAAAATGTGCCTTATAAACAGCGTCCAGGGAGCAACAGGGGAATCTGCCCTGCCACCCTCAGCCATTCCCTCAGAGGCTCGGGGACATGAAATGCCACAGGGTGGAGTGCAGTCACCAGGCAGCAGCTGCAGATGTGTGTCCACAGGATGGAGCCATCTGCTGGTCCACACTCAGCAAAAAGTCCATCGTGGAAAGGAGGAGGCTGCCCC